GGGCAATGGGGGAGGGGCCGGGAACTCACAGAGGGGTCCCTGGCAAAAAGGGGGCGGAGCCTGAGGGGAAAAGGAGGCGTTTCCTGGGGGGAGAGGGGCGTGTCCGGCGCTATGCAAATGAGGAGGGGGCGTGTCCCAGCCCCGCCCCGCTGAGGCCACGCCCCCTCTCTCTGCCGCAGGTGGGCGGGGCAGGCGCTGGGCCTGGGGCCCTGGGGGGCGCTGGGGCTGCGAGCGCTGGGGGCGGCGGCGCTGGGGCTGGGGGCGCTCAGGCTGCTGGTGGCCCTCCTGCCCCCGCCCTGAGACACACCTGGACACACCTGGATACACCTGAGATACACCTGGACACACCTGGGGACACCTGAGATACACCTGGACACACCTGAGATACACCTGGACACACCTGTGCGTTCATCGGGGGCGGCGGCGCGGGGGCGGGGGGCGCTCAGGCTGCTGGTGCCCCTCCTGCCCCCGCCCTGAGACACACCTGGACACACCTGGATACACCTGAGATACACCTGGACACACCTGGGGACACCTGAGATACACCTGGACACACCTGAGATACACCTGGACACACCTGTGCGTTCATTGGGGGCGGCGGCGCTGGGGCTGGGGGCGCTCAGGCTGCTGGTGCCCCTCCTGCCCCCGCCCTGAGACACACCTGGACACACCTGGATACACCTGAGATACACCTGGACACACCTGGATACACCTGGGGACACCTGAGATACACCTGGGGACACCTGGGCACACCTGAGATACAGCTGGGGACACATGGGAACACCTGAGATACACCTGGACACACCTGAGATACACCTGGATACACCTGGGGACACCTGAGATACACCTGGGCACACCTGAGATACAGCTGGGTACACATGGGAACACCTGAGATACACCTGGACACCCCTGAGATACACCTGGATACACCTGGGGACACCTGAGATACACCTGGACACACCTGGATACACCTGGGAACACCTGAGATACACCTGGACACACCTGAGATACACCTGGATACACCTGGGGACACCTGAGATACACCTGGGGACACCTGAGATACACCTGGATACACCTGAGATACACCCGAGTGAACGTGGATACACCTGGACACACCTGTGGGGGCTGAGGGTGCTCAGGCTGCTGGTGCCGCTGCTACCCCCGCCCTGAGACACACCTGGACACACCTGGGGACAGCTGGGGACACCTGAGTCACACCTGGATACACCTGAGATACACCTGAGTGAACGTGGATACACCTGGGCACACCTGGATACACCTGGATAACCTGAGACACACCTGGACACACCTGGGGACACCTGAGATACACCTGGGGACACCTGAGCAAACACGGACAGACATGGGAGCACCGGAAATACACCTGGACACATCTGGAGGCACCTGAGATACACCTGGACACACCTGAGTGAATACAGATGCACCTGGATACACCTGGGAGCACCTGAGACACACCTGGGCACACCTGAACACACCCAGACAGACTGGAGAGACACCTGGACGCACCTGAATGAATGCAGACACACCTGGACGCACCTGGATACACCTGAGATACACCTGAGTGAACATGGACAGATGTGGGAGCACCAGAAATACACCCGGACACACCTGGGCACACCTGAACACACCTGGACACGACCGGGACACACCTGAGTGAATACGGACGCACCTGGATACGCCTCGGATACACCTGAGATACACCTGGACACACCTGGGCACACCTGGACACACCTGAGATACACCTGAGATACACCTGAGATACACCTGGGCACACCTGGACACACCTGTGCATTTATTTTTGGGGTTCAGGGGCAGGAATCGAGTCCAGGTGTGCTGGAGAGGGGCCCAGGTGACGTCACAGGTGTGCAGGTGAAGTCACAGGTGTGCAGGTGACGTCACAGGTGTGCAGGTGACGTCACAGGTGTGCAGTGGGCGTGGCCCAGGTGTGTCAGTGGATCCCAGGTGTGCAGTGGGCGTGGCCCAGGTGTGTCAGTGGATCCCAGGTGTGCAGTGGGCGTGGCCCAGGTGTGTCAGTGGATCCCAGGTGTGCAGTGGGCGTGGCCCAGGTGTGCCAGTGGATCCCAGGTGTGCAGTGGGCGTGGCCCAGGTGTGTCAGTGGGTCCCAGGTGTGCAGTGGGCGTGGCCCAGGTGTGCAGTGGATCCCAGGTGTGCCAGTGGATCCCAGGTGTGCA